TGTCCTTTTGTGTTGATGACCATATTTGGTATTTCCTGTGACAAAATAAATGAGCTGAACATTTTCTGAAGAACCACTTTGCTTGCTTGTGCAGTATTAAAGGGATAGTTTACTCAAAAATCATAATTGTTGTTCCAAACCTGTATGAGTGTCTTTCTTCTGCTGAGCACAAAAAAAGACATTTTGAAGAATCTTGGTAACCAAACAGTTGCCGCATGCAGTATGCAAAAACATACTATGGAAGTCAACAAACAAACTCAGAATTTTGATTTTTGGATGAACTATCCCTTTAAACCTGTTAGACTAATTAAATTAAACTAAAATGTAATTTTGTTGTTTTAAAGGTAAATCATATATGTGAACTTTTTTAATATTCTTTTTTAACAATAGTAACAAAATGTAACATTTATGAAGAGAATGATCTGCCATGTTTTATGTATTTTATTTTATTTTTAATTTTCTTTTTTGTTTTCAGTTTTCATTTCATTAGTTGTTTTAATCATTTTTTCCTCTTTGTATTTTATTATTATTTTGGTTCTATTTTTTGTTATTATTTTGTTTTGTTTTTACTATTTTATTTAATATAAGCACTTTGTAAACACTTTTTTAAAGTGGAAATGAAATGGAAATTCACCCTGTTTATTTTCCAAATGACTGATTATGTTGTGAATGATTCATTTCATCCATGCATATGTTCATTTTTTTACCTTAATTACCTTACCTTAATTTTTTTACTGTCATTTTTAATAAAAGTGTCAATAAATCACAAACTTCTCTCTGGTGATGTGACTTCTTCAATCATTTCATCCAAAACCCCATCCTTTCCTTATAACTGACTGCAAACTGTCATTCAGATCTGCCTCTGTCCAATCAACAACTGATAGATTTATCCAGGTCATTTTTCTTATTTTTGATCATTTGATAATTCAATAAAATATCTGTCACTATTTCAGTCATATTGTAACTTTAAGCAAAATGTGATTTCATCTTTACTTGTAGATGCTTTACTTACTAAATTTAGTCAGATTTTATGGTTTGTGAAAATCTGACTTAGTATAAGAGTGTTTTTCAAGCATGAACATTAAAAAGCATTTCAGGCTGACCATTCATTTGATCATGTTTGTGACTCAGAATCATGAAACCCTCTCTTTGATTCTCATTGGTAAACATGATCTCTGTGTGATTCCAATCATTTCATCCAAAACCCCATCCTTTCCTTATAACTGACTGCAAACTGTCATTCAGATCTGCCTCTGTCCAATCAACAACTGATAGATTTATCCAGGTCATTTTTGTTATTTTTGATCATTTGATAATTCAATAAAATATCTGTCACTATTTCAGTCATATTGTAACTTTAAGCAAAATGTGATTTCATCTTTACTTGTAGATGCTTTACTTACTAAATTTAGTCAGATTTTATGGTTTGTGAAAATCTGACTTAGTATAAGAGTGTTTTTCAAGCATGAACATTAAAAAGCATTTCAGGCTGACCATTCATTTGATCATGTTTGTGACTCAGAATCATGAAACCCTCTCTTTGATTCTCATTGGTAAACATGATCTCTGTGTGATTTGATGAACGAGTAGGCTCACTCCTTTGTCAGTCTTCACAGGGCTGTGAAGGGGGGTTCATATTGTGCTGATTGCTTTGCTGCTTAGTGAAATTTTTCTTGTGTGTTTATGGTGGTGGTGTTATTTTCTACCCAGTTATTTTATCCTATCAGCATTTATTAAGTTTCCAGGGTTGAGGAAACACACACACACACACACACACACACACACTCCTTCACAGTTCTGTCCAGGCACAGTTGACTACTCTTTGAAAAAGAGAGATTGCTTTAGCCACAGAAACTTATATAATTCCATGTTAAATAATAAAAATAACAATACATTTTATTCATATAGCATGGTTTATCTTGGAAAAAACCTGAATCCTCTATATACTGACCTGAACTCTTTTATTTCTCATTGTTTGCCATAAAACAAGTGATGAGGCTGGTGCACTTTTCATATGTGTTTGCTCTTCATTCAGTTCATATAAATATGATTAGATGATTATAATATTTCAATACTTCAGTTTTGGCATTTTAGGAAAAAGATCAGGACTGTAACCACCTTAAATGTTCAAATATGTTAAGTGGCCATTCAGAATGAACCCTTATATTATTATCAAGCAATAGCAAGCAAGTTTTCTTTTTTTTACCAGTGCAATATTTTTGTAGGGCCCTTAAAAGCGTGAAATTGACTTGTATTTTCCCCTGCTCCCTTTGACGTCACAGCTCAGAATGTCACCAGTGAAGGGCTTGAGACTGTGTGTGTTCTTGTGTTGTCGTTCACCAATCAGCATTGTCATGACATAATTTCTCTCAATTTTGATACAATAAAAGTGTCTTTCACTTGTCACTGTCTAACTATCAAATATTATTACTTGCATAGATATTCAGATAATTGGATGGATGGACAGATGGATGGTTTAATAGGTGGATGGATGGATGGATGAATGGATGGGCGGATGGGTAGATGGATGGTTGAATAGGTGGATGGATGAGTGGGTGGGTGGATGGATGGATGATGAGCTGATAGGTGGAATGATGGATGGATAGGTGGGTGGATGGATGGATGGATGGATGGATGATGGATGATGGATAGGCTGATAGAGAGATGGATGTGCTGACGGATTGATGGGTGGGTGGATGGATTTAATGGATTGATGCATGGATGGGTGGGCTGATGGATAGATGGGTGGGCTGATGGATGGACAGGCTGATTGATGGATAGATAGATGAATGGATGGATGGGTGGGTGGATGGATTTAATGGATTGATGCATGGATGGTTGGGCTGATGGATGATGGATGGATGGACAGGCTGATTGATGGATAGACAGATGAATGGATGGATGGGTGGGTGGATGTATTTAATGGATTGATGCATGGATGGGTGGGCTGATGGATAGATGGGTGGGCTGATGGATGGACAGGCTGATTGATGGATAGATAGATGAATGGATGGATGGGTGGGTGGATGTATTTAATGGATTGATGCATGGATGGTTGGGCTGATGGATGATGGATGGATGGACAGGCTGATTGATGGATAGATAGATGAATGGATTGATGGGTGGGTGGATGGATTTAATGGATTGATGCATGGATGGGTGGGCTGATGGATAGATGGGTGGGCTGATGGATGGACAGGCTGATTGATGGATAGACAGATGAATGGATGGATGGGTGGGGGGATGGATTTAATAGATGGATAGATAGGCTGATGGATAGATGAGTTGGCTGATGGATGGAAGGATGGGCGGATCGATGGGGAAATGAATGGTAAAAGAGATACATTTAGGTCTGATTGAAAGTCATTGTAGAAGTGTTTTCATTGTATGTAAAAATAGCAGTCAGATGGCATTGCTGAAAAATGATGTGATATTCCCTAATGATTCCACCTGATCCCGCTGACCTACGGATGAATGACAGTAGAGCTGTAGGTTGGACCTGCAGACTAATGACTCGAGCGCTCAGACAGTCAGTGTGTTCAATGGGTTAATTCATGCTCTGTGAGGAATCTGTCCGCTTCTTTCTCATAGGAACCTGCTATTTCTTTTTTTTTTGTGACCGTTAATGCCCACCAACAGCTCGTGGAGAACAATATCCAGCTGTACTGCTGATTTGACAGCGATGTTTATTGATTGTTTTTTAGACTCGTGTGTGTGTGTGTGTGTGTGTGTGTGTGTGTGTGTGTATGGCAGTCGAAAATCTATGAGCAGCTGTTTGCGATGTGAATCAATAAGGTCGGGATTATGAGCTGGAATTCGCGTAAGATCATGGAAGTACTGAATCCAGGGGCTCATTAGAGCTGATTGGAGTTGGTGGAAAGTCCAACTGTTTTATTGCTTTCGGCTGGAAGTCGGAGGGTTTTTTTCTCGGATAACAATCGGGATAAGGACCACTGTCCACTGTATTCGCACCCGATGGCTAAAAATAATAGTGTGTATAATCGCGAATGAGATCTGGAGAATTTCCTCACAATTCAGCGACCATCTGTGATCCAGATATCAGCAGCGGGTTAATCTGGATCCTGTAGCGGATCATCAGCCCATCGGGATCTGAGGGATCACTTTCATAGATCGCCCATCATCACCGCTAAAGGTAAGAGCTTGTGTTTGAGTGTGTGACATGAAGGCTTTGATGGGCAGCATGATTTCATAAACTACAGCCTGCATTTCTACACTTTTGCACCTGTTGTTTTAATGGCTTTGAACTGACTGATCGGTGAAACGGGAGGTGTAGCGTGCATAAATTGTGTTAATATTTTAGCTGGTTTTAAACATCCATTGTTTTAAATTATAATTTTTTTATTAATAATAATAATAATTGGCTAATAATAATAAACTAAAGAACTTTAGGATGGCTTTTTATTTGTATTAGTTTTTATTATTATTATTATTAATTTAAACAACAACAGCAAAAACGTAGTACTATTTATTAGGCTAGGGCTCTTATTTTTTGTCTAATTTTAAATTTTGTTTTTTATTATTATTATCATTTTTCTTTAGTAGTAATAATAATAATATTAATTTGCTGTTTACTTTTAAGGATGTACTTTTATTTTTAATTTATTATTATTAAATTACTATTATTCCTGCTGCAGTTATTGCTATGTTTTTTTGGATGTCTATGATAATGATAATAATAACTTGCAATAGCTCTTTACTTTTAAGGATGTCATATCTTTTTGATTTATTTTAAAATGTATTTAAAATGACCCTTTAAAATATTCCCAGTCCCCTATTCCCAAAAGCTGTGCAAAACACAAACAACATTATGTATAATTCATTGCTGGCACGCAGATGGCAGTTTCCGGGCAAATTATTCACCTTAGTCTCATTTGACAAGTCAGGTGGTGCCCAGCCAACACCCCCTTCAGGGAAAAAAGTGATAAACATGCTAATGACTAGAGAACCTGGAGGAGCGTGTGCAGTGTGAGAGAGCAGGAGTGGCGGTGCGGTCCGGGGGGCTGGTCAGCAGTGTGTGTGTGTGTGTATGCACTCTCAACGGAGCTGCAGAGGCAGGACTATGCCACCAAGCCACTGTTATTATGAGCCCACCGATGACACCAGAGTGTGACATGAGGGAGATGCTGACTGGCTGAAGGGATGAATGAACACATGAATGAGTGACTACCTGCTCCAGGCTGCTGAAATTTTAACCACTGGGTTCTGGGCACTTTATGCTGCTCGGGGAGAGGACCAGCACTGGGACGTAGTCAGGCTGTGGCTCTGTGGGACAGCCTGCCGTTGTGCTCTGAGTCCGGAGTGCACTGTCAGATGGAGGTCACTGATCTGGATCTGGATCCGGACCCCCGGGCGGAGAGGTCTGAAGGAGAGGGTCCGTGCGTCCCGAGCAGTCCTGGGATAGAGCCTGTTGTGCTTGAGTATCCTGCAGGGTATGATCCGTACGGGTAAGATACAGGGATCACTGCTGCCATTCCGGGAGCTTGCTGCTTTAAAACTCTGGCATGTAGGGAATGTGTTTCAAACTGCTTTTTTGTTGTATGTGCTCTGATTTTACTGTTAAACATGTCTTTGTTTTAATGAGAGTGGAGAGATGTCCTGCTTTGATACTTCTGTTTTGGTATGTGTGTGATCACTGGCTTGATTTTTATTTGTATTGATTTTAATAACTTGAAATGTATTTATGCTCGGGTCTGTCCTTCGAACCGTAGGTTGCCTTTGTAAGAGGTTTAGATTATTTTGACATGATGTGGAATGACATTTTGACAGTGGACTTGTTTCCAGTGACTTTGTGAAGCACTGCACTTGACGCTTGTATTTTTGACATTTTAATTGCAATTCATCTGCTGTTTTCTGGGAATCTTAGAATGTGATGTGGCACTGTTGGATTGGAAATTTTTGCCCTCAGTTGAACACATTGATAAATTCTGCCTCCATCTCTTAGTTACACTCTTTATGTCCAGACACTCCATTATCCCTCCTGAACAGAACACTCTGTTTGCAATGGATAATTACATGACAAGCAGTGTCCTATAATGTGACATGCTGTACTGCACCTAAAACTATTTAACTGTTACTTTAACTATAAAACTGCGATCTAATTCTGTATAATCATTATAAATGCAAGTAAATTAGTGACTACATTGAATATTTGTACTTTTATTCAGTCATTCTTCATGCCAGCACAGGACTATTTAAATGAACTGCATTACAATCTTGAGAAATGTGCTGTGACTGGCCAACATTACTTTTACATTGATTATATATATTTACACTGCCGTTAAAAAATTTGGGGTCTGTATGTTTTTGTTTTTTGTTTTTGAAAGAAGTCTCTTATGCTGACCAAGGCTGCATTTATTTGATCAAAAATTAAAAAACTGTAAAATTATCAAATATTATTACAATTTAAAATAACTGTTTTCTATTTGAATATATTTTAAAATATAATTTATTCTTGTGATGCAAAGCTGAATTTTCAGCATCATTACTCCAGTCTTCAGTGTCACATGATCTTTCAGAAATCATGCTAATATGCTGATTTGCTGCTCAAGAAACATTTCTTATTATTATCAATGTTGAAAACAGTTACTTAATATTTTTGTGGCGCTGTGATAAATTTTTTGTGTACATTATTTAATTATTTTGATGAATACAAAGTTCAAAATAGCATTTATTTGAAAGAAATCTTTTTTAACATTATAAATGTTTTTACTGTCACTTTTAATCAGTTTAATGTGTCCTTCACTGAAAATAAAAAATAAAAAATAAAAAATAAACTTCACAATTAATTACAAAGTAATGGCAATTAACATATTGAATTGCACATTACTCTTTTAAGAAAGACTGAAATAGTATTTTCTTGTAAAACATACTGAAGTAATCTTTGTATTATTATGACTACAAAAAAATCATTTTTTACAGTGTGATTTGCTGCTCAAGAAACATTTCTTATTATTATCAATGTTGAAAACAGTTACTTAATATTTTTGTGGCGCTGTGATAAATTTTTTGTGTACATTATTTAATTATTTTGATGAATACAAAGTTCAAAATAGCATTTATTTGAAAGAAATCTTTTTTAACATTATAAATGTTTTTACTGTCACTTTTAATCAGTTTAATGTGTCCTTCACTGAAAATAAAAAATAAAAAATAAAAAATAAACTTCACAATTTATTACAAAGTAATGGCAATTAACATATTGAATTGCACATTACTCTTTTAAGAAAGACTGAAATAGTATTTTCTTGTAAAACATACTGAAGTAATCTTTGTATTATTATGACTACAAAAAAATCATTTTTTACAGTGTTGCTGAATAAAAGTGAGAACTTTATTTTACTGACCCCCAACCTTTTGAACAGTAAATTGTCATATAAAATGAAATAGATATATACATTAAAATCTAGGTGTCTACAGGTTTTTGCAGGCAAACTGGCTGTTTTTGTTTTTACACGCCAATGTAGAACGTCATATGTAGTCAAGAGGAAACCGTTTGGACACACAGCAAAGTAAATTTTGCTCACTAAGTTTCTACACCATTTAAAGGGGTCATATGATGTTGCTAAAAAGAACATTATTTTGTGTATTTGGTGTAATGAAATGTGTTTATGGGGTTTAAGTTTCAAAAAACACATTATTTTCCACATACTGTACATTATTTTTTTTCTTCTATGCCCGCCTTTCTGAAACGCGTCGATTTTTACAAAGCTCATCGGTCTGAAAAAGTGAGGTGTGCTGTGATTAACATATGGTGCTTTATAGTCCTTCAGACAGTACCCTGTAAAGATGGAGAAATAAAAAGCAAAATATTTGTTATTAATGAGCTTTCACATCGAAAATAATTACTGACATTAATTCATTGGCATGAAACATTCCACCAATTATAATCTTTTATTTTTATTAATCATTTGAGACATTAAACTTTATGGTAGATTAATGAGAAGTCAACTGAAGAAAATATTTTGATAGAAAACATGCCCATCTTTATTATATGTTACAGGTTAAACTGTCAGTAAGATTTTTTCTTTTTTATAAGAAATTAATAGTTTTATTCAGCAAGGACACGTTAAATTGATCAAAAGTGTCAGGAAAGAGTTTTACAACTTTACAAAAAGATTTTTATTTAAAATCAATTCTGCTCTTTTGAACTTTCTATTGTTAATAATTGTTTTTATTATTATTAATTACGGACTCTTTATGCTGTTGCCCAAGTGTGGGCAAATGCTTCTAATCTAAGGCAATTACATCTCAACATTTGATAGAGAGATTCTGGACTTGAGCCAGAGATATTTTAAGATACTCAGCCCATTAAAGGCTTTGCACATCCCAATCAACTGCCCCATTAAAGCAAACCCCCAGTTTCCTACATTTGTCCCAAGGCAGCATCCATATTTTACAAGGGTGTGCCATCCATCATGGGATATGTCCTTCAGCAGACTGCTAATACAAACTCAAGCTGTATTTGTTTTACTCTGATTTGGTACCTGGCTGTAGCCCAGCACATACTGTGATTGTGGGCTCACGTCCCAAAGCGTAGTCTGTGATCTGGAACCTCCTGCCCCTTCATGCTTACTGCTGCTTCAAGTGGCTTTTCTCTCGCTCTCTTGCTCTCTTCTGACGGTGTGCTGGTATTTAACCTTCAGGGTGACCACATTGTCCCCATGAGAGCTTTGGGTTCCTGTACAGGACACCAGCAGTGCAGCGTCATACTCTGAAGGTCATACTCATACTCAAATAAATGAATTGCATTTTTGAGAAAATCATGTACACTCACATGAGATGAAGACCCATGTTATAACAGTAGTCTAATATATATATATATATATGTGTGTGTATGTATGTATGTATGTATTAAAGATAGATTTTTATTTTTAAAGAAATTAATACTTTTGTTCAGCAATGAGACATTAAATTGATCAAAAGATTTCTATAACAAATAAATGCTGTTCTTTTGATCTTTCTATCTTTCAAAGAATTCTGGAAAAACTGTATCATGGTTTTCATAAAATATTAAGCAGCAAAATGGTTTTCAACATTAATAATAATAAATGTTTCTTGAGCAGCAAATCAGCATATTAGAATGATTTTCTGAAGGATCATGTGACACTGAAGACTGGAGTAATGATGCTGAAAATTCAGCTTTGCATCACAGGAATACATTTCATTTTAAAATATATTAATTAGTGCTGTCAAAATTAACGAGTTAACGTGTGTGATTACGTTTTTCAGTTTAATGCATTAAAAATATTTAACGCGATTAATGCGGAGCTAGGGTTGGCCACCCCACTCACAAGCATTGTGTTTATTTAGACACAGAATGTCTTTATGATCACTTTAAATGGGAGACTTTTCAGACGCGCACTCCAACTTCACCTCAGCATCAGGCGCTAGTCAAACGAGCGCAAAATAAAAGCTACATGTGATGAGGGAGCTTCAGTAGAACAACAGTGAACTGCAGTCAGATGAGATGCTGTCAGGTCACATGTCAGTAAAAACAAATTTCCTGTCCTGTCAGCCATTAAACTGTGCTCGTAACATGTGCTCTTCAATTGCATGCACAAATGCGGTAAGAACATGTCTCTGAAATGCAGTGGTTTTCAAAACTGTTCACTTAAATTAGAATTTGTTATTTTTTCAAGTCTAATAAATGTTAAAATTGATAGCTGTCAATTATACTGTAATGTTGAATGGCTATAATCAATGGTTAAATATTAGGGGGGGGGGGGGATGCAATTTCATAGAGACATCAGTACTATTGGTATCAGTGATACTCGCCTTCAGTCATAAAAAAGATACCATTAATCAAATATTAAAAATATACTTCTTTATGTTGTTTCTACATTAATTTAAAGATTGAATGTGACATTTTTGCAATATAAAAGTACATTTAAAAACTTTCATGTTAGGTGGGATTAATCGTGATTAAAAAAATGTGCGATTAATTAGTTCATTTGTTTTAATCGATTGACAGCACTAATATTAATAAAGAAAATAGTTATTTTAGATTGCAATAATATTTCACAATATTACTTTTTTTTACTGTATTTTTGATATAATGCAGCCTTGGTGAGCATAAGAGACCTCTTTCAAAAATTTACAAACTTTTGAACAGTAGTATATCTGTATGTATATTTAAGTATAAGACATAAAATTACTGAATTCACGCAATGTTGAAAAATTTTATATATATATATATATATATATATATATATATAT